ATTGAAGTTGAAAGGAAACACACCCAGATGGGAGCGAAGTCAGGACTTTCAGCTGTAATTCAAGGGGTTTGACAAAAGTTCTCACACTGCATATCTTACAAAGCTTGGGAAACCGTGGATGGTTTCTTAGTTGGATCAGATTGTAGGTGAAGTCAGCATGAACCACATTTAGCACAAAGCCAGTCTTATGATTTAGTAAGATATCTGGATACTGTATAATTTTTCCTATGATGTGCCTGTATTAAATCATGCTGTTTTTTCATTGCCTTGCATACATGGTAAACAATTTGTAATTTCTTATATATTGTAATACATTGTCTTACAGCGTTAGTAATATTAGAAATGTTGACTGCAGATACTGTGCTGCAGTAAACTTTGCACATCTTTTATTCCTGTGGTTGCGGGAAATGATTTTACATTGGGCTGAGGCTTGGACATTAGAGCGCCCTAAAAAGAAATTGAGGTGAACATCTAACAAGCCAATAGTCATGAGGTTTTTCATCTTTTCAAAGATTGCTACACACTCATGCAACTGAGAAATATTTTTCAATATTGAATGGAACAGGTGTAACATAGGATATTGCATTTCATGCTAATATAATCTGCTTTTGGCAGCTACTGGACGAGGATCAGAACTGGTGGTTGAAATATAGAATTCCTGCAAGTCGCTACAGTTCCCAGTAAGTAGAAACATCAGTCTGTGTTGTTCTAAGGATTGTTTATTTTATGAAAATTATTTACTAGGTGTAATGCTATATCTCCCACATATGACTGAAGGTCAGATACTGAAATGGTAAATCTCAGGTGTTTTTTTTTTTTAATTTTAACAATACATTTTGTCCTTAAAACATATTTTTACAGTGGTTCAAGTGGAAATTTAAAAACAGAATGGATTGGTCAAAGGTTTGCTACTTTCCTGTTCCATAAACGGTTGCACATGAGCTAGCAGAAGGCAGAGTTTTGCAAGATTTAGTGCAAGTGATTGTGCTAGTATCCAGTTTTTGCACCTTTTATGAAAAGTTGGGCAATTGGAGGCATGCCTTTGAATTTTGTTTGTTCATTCTTTTTTTTTTCTTTTTTTTTGGCTACCTTAGGAAAATCCCTTCAGTATGTGGGAGAGGTTCTCCACCTGTGGGAGCATATCTCTGGACCCGGTCCAATTTTATTTTAACATGCAAATGGAAAAGAAAAAAGAAAAACAAGTTCTTTGGGTGTACTTGTATATGGCAACTTATCACATTAGTCTCAAGTTTTCACTGTGTGTAACTGAATGAGTAGGATTATCCCATTCATACTGTATCCATTCTCCCAGTTTCTTGGAAAGCGTAGAAATAAAAAGTAAAATCTGCTTGCAGTTGAGGTCAACTACTGGTGACCTCAAGAATAGTTTCCTTGGCAATCGTAGGAAAGTAATTTGCCTTGTCTTCTTCCAGGATAACTTTTCTACTTCCTAATCTAGCCTACAGCTCTGGTATTCCCTGGAGGTCTCCCATCCAAATGCAACCAGGCCCACCTCTCTAGGCTTCCAAGCCCAGACAAGGTCAGATAGGAGCTGCCACTGCTAAGGCCATGGGTGGCATCTGCAAAGTCATTCCACGTCTTAGCAAAAACCTTCCAAAACAGGTTGAACCAAGAGTGTCTTGTCTAGAGCTACTCGGTTAATTTCAGGACCAGATGGGGATTTAAACCCCGAGTGCCATAACCCGGCACTGAAGAAGCTATTTCATTGCACATTTGATGAACCTTCTTGCTAGTAGTTCAAGTGTTTGTGTTTTGTTTGTGGACACAGTTCAGGGATTCAGCCCCTGAAGACTTGTGATTTTGGTGTCTGAGGTAGCATTTGATTCTACTTAAACCTGTCCAGATGATAAGCTGGGCACTTATTTGAGTGTCCTTCCCATCAGAATTCCTCTGAGTAGTGGAAAGAAAAACTACCTTCTCTTTTGTCACGTTCCCGTCTCTGGAGGCTGGCCTGGAGCCAGTGCTTACAATTTTCAGCATCCAGAAAGTCTCTTAGCCTTGGTTATGTTACCACTTGTAGAATTATTCTTATTATTGCCCACTGCTCTTCATTCTGAGTTACAGTCCCATTACTGCACCCTTGTGTTTTTAATAGATTGTTTTATCCTCAGCCAACCTAGAGATGCTTAGACTGAAGCCAGAGTTCAGAATTCCTTACGCAAATAATCTGCTATAGATGTACAACTTCTGTGTGATCTGCAGATGCTTTTGGCACCCATCTTTCTTATTTATTTATTCTTTTCGAATCATTTTACCTCCACCTCTTAATCAAAAAAAGGCTATCAGAGAAGCTGACAAATATGTGTAGGGGAGCCAGTACCTGTCCTCAGGCTCACAAACTAAAAAGGAAGACCCGCAAGAAAGCAGAATGAGTGGACAGAAGAAAAAGCAATCTCAGCTATAGCCATGAAAGTATTGTGCTTTTGAACGTCAACGCTAACGGAAAGCTAAACTTAGTGCGGTAAAATAATTGACTCATTTCCTCAACATTCAACCCAAGTAACTGGGGACGAGGGGGCAGGGATTCTTGTTATGTTTGTCTTACGTTCTGATTATTACTGTCTAATTATTGATTATTTTCAATTACTGTTAAGGGTAGAAATTTACAGGGCAAGCTGTAATAAAACAAACTGAAAACAATCCATTTCAAACCCAAAGGACCTGTAAAAGATTGTAAGCAGCGAAGAAGCAATAAGAATATAAAAAAGCGTTAATCCAGTAAAATGCAGTTCGGGAGTCGGAGGGAATCCATTATATCCAGCCTTGTAATATAACCAAGGCTAAAAGAACTTTCCCTGGTCCTGAAAACGATTGTAAAATTAGAAGCCAGATGAGTCTCCACAGAAAGAGCAGGCTAAGTTCAAGGTGCCCCAGGAGAGAATGCAGTTTTAAGGAAGTGTCTTGGTGTACAAATGTAATTGTCCTGAGCCAGATTGTGCCTCTGCCGGTTGAGCCCCAGACCAAACGCAGTCTTTAAAGTTCAGATGTTACTTTATGCAAATTGAAGGTGTGGAGATTTTATCTGGGTTGGAATTGGAGCATTGCTTGAATCTTGGGTGGGATTGAAACAGGCAAGATGGTTGAAATGAAATCATGATCCAAACCCTTCCTCTCTTTTGTGTTTCGTACACATGGACAAAAGGAGCACGTCTCTGCACAGGAGGAATCCAAAAAATGATGCCAGTGCTTCTTTCTCTTAATTTTACCATACTACGTGATCATGTAAATGCTGCAATTATGTACTTGTATCTTGATGTTTGATGTAAACTTGCATGATGATGTCATTGAGCATGGCCATCATTCTATCCCTGGCATACTGTTTGCGTATCACTCCGTGGCTACATGTACCTTGTTTCCTTTTTTAAAAAAATAAATAATATTCTGTTTCTTTCTTTTTAAGCTTTTTTTCACGCTATTATGACCATTACTTCAGAAACTGCTGGCATATCTCCTATAGATTCTGGTTCAGAGGTAATAGCTTTAATTTGTTTTTTTTAAACAGTTCACATTTTCAGAAATGTTCTCAGACTCTCTCCTAGTGAGAATAGCTTATTAGTTTTCCTTTAGGCTTTTCGGTGTGGGATGCTTGCTTCTTACTACATAATTTTTAGTCTTTTTTTTTTATAATATTTTATTGAGATTTTAAAGATACATATTTAAAAG